TCAATTTGCATTCACTTGTAACAGTTTTTGCTGACTGCCGCCTACGACTACTGGTTTTGTTACTGTTAAAGTCGTTTAGAAAAACTACGCGCGTATTTGCAGCAGCTTCGCCAAGAAATCGGTTTAAGACTGTGCAACATTGTTTACGACAATCCGGCAAGTGAGCCTTCTAAGGTGAGTAACCGATAAATTGTTGTAATTGCTTAAGATGTGAAATTATTTATAAGTATGTCGATATTTATGAATTATTAGTTAGAGGAATAGTATAATTACTATTATGAGGAGTACTCATTAACCATAGTAAAACCAAAGAATATTTATTCTACCGAACAAGCATTCCTACGACAGATTATCCAGTTGCCTCGTACCTCAGCTTCGTTACAACATCGAGATAAAGACAGGGTTCCCAGCACAAAGTAACTTGGAGTCTAACTGTACACTTTAGGACACACATGGAAAAGATAATAGTTAAAATGGGACAATAGAGACTTTGTTTAGACGCCAACTTAATTACAAACCCCAAAAGAATCAGAGTGCTGTTTAATCTGACCTGCGTTCTACCCTTAATTGCATGTTTCACATATATATTTTTCATTCCTGAGTAAAGTTGATATACGTGAACTTCGATTAGTTCTGTAACTTGGGTTCAAGCCAACTAAGTTGCCTTATGGTAATATCGTAAAGACAATCAGATTGTAAACCTATGGTAAATCTGGATAGCACCATTCTCTAACAGATCCCCCTCCCCATCCCCAAGGCCTTTTTAAACTGCACAGAGGTTTTGGAATTCGAGGTCTACGGATATCTGTTTATCCAAATATCGAAATGTACAGCAGATCTATAACCTCACAAGTAAGCACTATGCTCCAGAATAAAAAATGGAAATGCTGAATATGCTCAAATCGTTCTTGTGTTGCTATCCTATACAGTTAGATATCCGTTAGCATATGAGCTTCCATTTCATGTTTTTTTCTAGGGTTCTCCGTTTCATGCCTGTCCTCCTTTATTGCTGTCATTTATTTTTGTAGATCTTGTGTATTATGCCTAAATTACTATTCCTGTTTGATCATGTGAATGCTGAAATGTTTGCTGATTGTGGTTCAGCGGGCTATTCTCCGTAATTTTAGCAGCAAACTTTTCAATTTAACTGATTTTTTGAAAAGAAATAAAAAACATTTTATCGTGAATGGATACGAATAACTTATGTAGTTTTGCAGTATTCGGTGCCAGTAAATTGTTTAACCATTTTCACAAAGTTATATGTTCGGCTTGACACGCAAAAGACACGATGTTCAATTTCTAGGGGCGGCGTGAGTTTTCAAAATAAATGCACATTTTTCTGGTACCACAGGAATGTCTCTCTCTCTGTGCTGCATTGTGGCCATTGGTTAAGAGTTAATAAGAAGCGGTTAATAGATAAAACTTCCTGACAAACTGACGGAACCTGACAAATTGGTCAAACCTCCGTGGCGGTGATGAAATTTAGAGAAATATTCATGATGGTGTTTATAATTTTTGTTCTTCTACAGCGTACCCTCCTTATAGAGAAGGCCAGATCCCTCGATTTTATTTATAAATTTGCCTCCGTCTTTCGTTTTTTGCAGAATTATTAGTTTACTACAGTACTATTTTGCGTTGATTGCAGCGTATGTTCAGACGAGAATTTAAAGTCAAGTTGAGAAATTCAGTTTCTCGGGAGCTAACAAAGCTGCAAGATTTCTTTGCGAGACTTCAAAAGTTCCCACATAGTCAATTCTGCGCCGTACGCAAGAATAGAGAGGGATTTAAGCCTTAATAGCTAAAGTGCAATATCTTTCTCTCTGTATCCAATAAATCCAGTGCCACTTGCAGCCCTCGTCTTTGTGCCATGACAATCGTTCAAACTCTTAGACCTCCACCGACAGACCCTGTATCCATTCCATTGCATCTGCCGTGACAAAGCGAATCGCCTTAGTTCCATTTACAGCCATCTGACCTTCGAATTATGTCTTTGCAAAATGAGTTATGTCGCGTCTGGCGTATATAGCAGTTGACATGGCAAACATTTCTAAATGACAAATAACAAACGTCAAAAATAGGAGAAAAATAAGTTTGTTCTTGTACGCAACATTGATTTTCAGCTTAAAACAAGGAAATTTTGCTATTTTGCTAAGGATAAATCTAACGAGATGCAAAATTTGCTTGAACATTTTTTTTTGGTTGAACTCGTTGTAACATTGCTCAGAATAGCGCTCTATAGTGCCTCTCCGCGATGACAGACCGAAACTCTGTCAAGGAACCCCTCCCTCCCACCGCGCACTCTTCTGCGATTTCTAATGTCAGCAAGAAAGATTGGTTCTCTAGTCTTTATGTGGGTTAAACTTAGCTTTTTTTTACCGTACTGTTTGCTATTTATAAACTTACTTTTATATTGTGTTGTAAAAATTATCGAGAGAACTGTAGTATCTTTGTTATTTTGAGGCTGTTTGGTAATACAGGTTATCACAGACTTAAGATAGTCACATCGTAAGACGAAAATATCGTAAGTAGGGGACAACCTTTGTATAGGGTATAAGCAAAGACTGTACTATATGACATAGTTATACTGTAATGTAT